TGAATATTCGAATTTGAAGTTTCGTTGCTTAACCACACATAATATGCTTACTGTAGCTTGTCAAAATAATCTATATCTGTAACGAATGACTGCCTATTCTACTATTCAATCCACAACCCTACAATATTTTGTTGTATTTTTTAAAGCCTATAATTTTTCAAGGATTCTCCTCCAATGGAAATTTGGATATGTTCAGGTCGCGCAATGAATATCCACTTATAAACCTAATCTCATTACAAACCATACATAGCCATCATGTGTTTTTCGTGAAGACCGTTTACATACATGTGTATGTTGATGTTGTCGTCTCTAAAGAAATAAAGAAATAAAGAAATAAATATATATTATCAGGTATTATATATATATATATATACACACATCATATACATACATGGTCGACGACGATGTTTAACACGAGCATATGTACGACGTTAAAAGCGATTTTCCACAATATCTTTTGACATTTGCTTCAATCAACCTAATAATATGCCAGACGCAGGAGAAACGATAGTCGTGATTTCTCTAAACATAAGCAACTGTTTGGTAGTCACATATCTTACCTCAGATACATATTTGTCCTGTGTTTTCGTTACAGGCAAGTAAAATGGCTGCAGTGGCAATCCGTACTGCTCGCTAGATGCTGAACAAATGCGATAGCGCTCGATGACATCAGAGGTACGTTATTGATTAGGTCTGCTGCCGATCCATAATGGCGTCGCCATGGTAACGCGGTTAATGAGAAGATAAGAGAGACCCTATCAGTCTGATAAGCAAAAACTATTAATTACTACAAGAAATATACCGCACACAAATACACCCACCATATGTGCGTTCTACATATTTTGTTACCATACTACAGAGGCGGATTCAGGATTTGAAGAATGGCGCCGCCCTCAACATGCGGAGCAACGAGGTTGTGAAGCGCCCATGTTGGGAAGGGGGATTTTTAGTGAAATCTATATTATGATAATATATATATATTATTATTATATCATATTATATGATTAATATATCATTAAATATTATATATATATATATATATATAAATATACTATTATTTAATTTTTCTGCTGCTATGAAACTTTATATAACAACTTAACAAGCCATGTTTTAGACCAATGTCAAGAATGTAAAACGACATTAATCACTTTGACTTTTTATCGTACTAATATCCGCAGTGCACAATATTTCATATATGTAAGCATAGTTATATTATAACCAGGAAAAGGTGAACTAAAATCATATTACATTACAGTGTACGACAGAGAAAATGTAGACGATGATATCGTTTGCAAGGTATCTGAATCGTGTTGATTTTCATATAAGTAACGTTTGACCAGAACCAACTCACAGTAGAAGGCCGCATTCAGTTTGGTGTAATTCGTAACAAATAAAAATACACGAAACGAATGACGAGTATACGGTTCTGTAGTAGAATTTGCGACAATCTCTCACAGCTAGACGCGAGTGTACACGATGCGCGACCGTAGCCGAACTGCTTCACGGCATTAGGACACCTTTCTTAGCGATGATGGGGAGGTGCTCCCCGTCCAGGAAGGGGTTGAAGTTATCCCTGTTGATAAGATGATCGGTGGGAACGTCCTTCTTCGCTACGAGATTATCTTCGGTCAAGTACGGAATCTGAAAGCGAGTTGTCTTTGCTTATATCGCTCGCTAGTATTTAAGTATAAACACATGTGCTCGTTTTTATTTATTATAGACCGAACCATTCCTAAAGATATGCCGAAACTATTCCTAAAGACTGTACGTGACTCATCACATCCATTCACTTTTTGATTTTCCCGGGCGGCAAGAAATGGCAGCGATGGCAGCTTGCTGTCGCAGCGGCGGTGGTGGCGGCGTTAGCAACAGCGCGATAGTAATAACAGTAAATTTATTATCAATACATATACGTAACGTACCCCACCAAACATCTGTCCATTATCTGCTTCCTTGTGGCACTTAAACATGTGCTCAGCATCACAGAGACAATCTTGATCCTCTTGGTACTGCCTGCTAAATTCAGCCGTGTCCGCGACGTCAGTCATGCATCCTTGATCCTCTACACAGTGACAAAAGCAGAAGCAAAGATCACTTATCCCCGCACATAGTACCTTCCAAAGTAAAATTTTTGTACGACATCTTAATACGAGCAAGAGAATTACACGTTACGTAGTTTAATTTGTAAGCGAGAATATCGCCTCGTATGTGGTCCTCGTATTGACGAGTTTACGAATGCTTACCAGGCCCCAAACTAGAGTCAGTAGGGCTGAAGGGGTCGTTGTCGTATCAGGTACTACAGATATGTACCCGAGGTACGTATATGTATACACAAGTGTACCAGACCTGGATCTTCTTAGACTATAATTATGTACCCTGTGTTTACATAAACGTACCTGCCCCTGAGATGGAGATCGAATGAAGACGGTCATGGAGGAGGAGTAGGGGGCAGGAGGAGGAGGAGGAGGAGGAGGAGGAGGAGGAGGAGGGGGAGGGGAGAAGGTGATGGAGTAGGGGGAGGG